AAATATCACCAGTACTCTTGTCTATATATCTTGCCATATGAAGCTGTACAAGGAAAAACTGAACAGTTAAAAATCAACTCCTTTAGACTCCACCAGTGTTTATATATTACACAACTTAGTTATATGTACATATTTCATGTATTATTTTAAAGAGTTCAAATTCTATTTGTTGATGATCATACGCTTCTATAAATTTATTAGTAGTAATTATAAATAATATATACATGTTTCAACTTTTCCCATAGATGTAGAAGCAATTATTGAATAGAATTTGGGTGTAAGCATTTCAGTGCTCACATACACATGTGTATTTTAATACAGTAGTTGCTTTTTAATATTCAGGTTAATTTAGCTGATTAGGACACCAAGATTAATTTTAGGTTCAACATTTTTGTTATATTAGCTAAACATAAAAGTATTTTTTTTTTAAGTATTAAGCAAAGTTATAATGAAAAGTGTAAAAGATGATAAACACAGGGTAAAATGGTGAGCTAAGTTTTAAACAGAGGGGCAAATAAGAACAACTAAGTCACTGATATGGATCAAATACAACCAAACCAACAACACATGGAATACTATTCAGCCACTAACAAAGATGGAGACTGTATATCCTTTGTATTAACCTGAGTAATAATGTGGAATGCATTACTCTTAGCAAAGCATCATAAGAATGGAGAAACAAGAATCCTATGTACTAAATTCTGATATGAAGACAATTAAGGTCCTTGGGAGTTGGGAAGAGCTGAGAAAGGGAAAGGGGGGGTGGGGGACAAGGGGTGTTGTACACCTTTTGGGGCAGGACATAATTATAAGAGGGTCCTTATCTAATAAAAGCAATCAATGTAACCTGGCTCTGTGTATCCTCAATGAATCACCAACAATAAAAAAAAAAGAATAGAGTGGTAAAAATGTGCAGTGATTTTAAAATTAATAAAAGAAGAAAGCAAACTAATACACAGAAAATACTATAATCAGATTATTAGAAAGGGTACAGTTGACCCTTGAAGAATGGGGTTTAAGGATACTGATCCCTCACACAGTTGAAAATTCATGTATAATTTTGGACCACCATAAAACTTAAAAACTAATAGCCTACTCTTGACCAGAAGCTCTAGCAATGATGTAATATAGTCAATTGACACATATTTTGTATGTTTTAAGAGTTAAATACTGTATTCTTATGATAAAGTAAGCTAGAGAAAAGTCAGGGATATTAAAACAATGATAAGAAAGAGGAAAATAGATTTATTATTCATTAACTGGAAGTGGATCATCGTAACAGTCTTCACCCTGGTCATGTTCACGTTGGATTGGCTAAGGAAGAGGAAGGGAAGGTTTGGTTTTGCTGTCTCTGGGGAAGAAGAAGTGGAAGACAACCCATGTATAAGTGGACCTGCACGGTTCAATGTGTTGCTCCTGGGTCAGTTGGTACTTCATTTTGTCTGGCAAAGCAATGTCAACAAGGACCCTACTTATAATGGTTTCTACTTCTTAAGAGCCTGCTGTGTTTCCAGGCACTTCACAACTATAATCTCTAATCACTGTATAGTTTTATTTAATCAGAAGTTTGGAATCACATGATTCACATTACAAGTGGCCTAGTATAATTAAATAAATTTTCTAAGATTGAATTTTTAGAAAATAATAGACTCAGAAGAGTATTCCAGCCAAAACTGAACATCTGAGAAGTTTAAAAATGAAGAATCGGAATATATGAAATCGAAGACTTCAAAAGGCTAACATAAACTCTCAGGAGAACAGTATGTCTTACTTACACTGAAAGTATCATTAGATTTAGTCAGAATATGTTTTAGAGTATGTTTTCTGGGGAATTAGAGATTCAGTGGAACGGCAATGTTCTTCTTAGATGTCAATGATTCTAGGAGTTGGAATTTGTATATAGGCCAAAGACAACCGAAAATTGTCATTATATCCAGGATCAATATAATTACTATGTGCTCATGGAACCAGATGAAAAGTCAAATTTTAGGAACATAAATTCATTGTATTGGCTTCTGGGTCTTTATATAAGTAACAAATATGACTAGGATACAAATACAGCCATGGCCAATACATGGGTCCTAGCAACTTCATTCCCTAATGAGTCAGGCCAATTTTCACATCTCAAACTCTAAGGTTACTCACATGGAATAAAACTTCACCAAAATACCTGGTAGAGATTCCCTAAGGGTGTGAAGGAACGTTATGTAAGACCAGAATCTGCTGTGTCATGATTTCTGTGAGTGTTGATGTTGAACCGTACCCAGAATTTCACAAGTGGGTCAGTGAAGTAGCATTACGATTGCCAGCACCTTCATTTATCCTCCTGACTAATTACATCACCCACTGAGGTACATTTGGAACATGCTTAACTCTGTTTTATTTACTTTCAGAAACAAAGCTATCTTGTATAATATTTTATGTCATAACTGGCACTAAGAACATTTCAATGACTCATATTGTTTTTTATAATCTTCTTTTCCGGTTTTAGATTCTCAGGGAGGTAGGACCTGATGACCAGAAACTTGTAACTTTTAACTATTTGAGCTTTCTGAGTTGTTTCCCAGAAGTAGTAGAATTTCCACAAGATGAAGGAGTTGAGATTCTGAAGGCCCTGAAGCAGGCTTCCTGAACCCAGACTCACCATCTCCCAGTGACCTGCCGCATGAACTAGATCCTTGTTAATTTCCCCTCATTAATGTCAAAAAAAACTTGCTCCACTACACTTAACCCCTCTTTAGAAAACCTGAACCCTCCATTAGCTGGGGAAATGGCTTTGAGGCTGCTTCATGAGACATCTTTTGCATTAAAATTTCCTTTGTTCCTTGAAAATCCTCCTTGTCTCAGCAATTAGTTTTCCGTGCCTGGAGAGATGTAGTTCAGAATCTCATTGCAATTTTAATATAATATGAATATATACATATTGTTATTTATATTAGACATAAATAAATATATAACTAATGTAGCTTGATAGATAAACTTTATACAAATAGTCTCATATAGGTTTTGTATATAATATATAAGTAAATACATAATATATATCTTACTTCTTTTCCAATCTGCATTATAAAAATCTTCAGTCAGACTTCCCTATTTCTTTCGGAATTCTAGGAGAATAATAGTTTTTTCAGTAACACACTTAGTTCCTGTGTATAGTACAATATAGTAGCTATTTGTTAAGGTGAATTAGTTGAAGGTCGATACTTGACAAAAAAACAAAGAAAAACAATCTTTCCAGATGAAATTTCACCACTCCCATGTATACGCCCTCAGTGAACTGTGTCACTGTCCTTCGTCCTGGCTTGGGAGGCCAGTTCCTTCTTTTAGAAACTACGTATTACAACGTAATGTATAAGTAGTTCAGTTTTCTTTCTGAGTTTCAGTTACCTTGTCTGTATAACATCCCTTGTGTTTCACACGTTAGATATTGAATATACTACAGTAAATGCTTTCATAAAATTTTAAAGTACTATATAAAAGTAGGTTAAATTATTATTTTTATTTACTTTCTAAAATAAAAACTTTCACATGCACTTTATAAATGTCTCATGTATGTAAATGTCACATATATGTAACCTTTTATTCGATTTCAAGTATATATAGAATGGTCCTGAAAAATCTTGAAGGGCTACACAGATGTTGCCTGTCCTTGTTATTATTATGATTTTATCCTGAAAATCACAGTTATATACACATTTCTTTGCATGAATGTCTAATATAATAAGAATTTCATTTATACAGATAGCAGTGCCTTTTCCCTATATAATTTGTGGCTGTGTCTGAGGCAAAAAAATGTTTCACCTAATCTGACATGTAAAAATATGTTTTACTACTTACTGAGTCTATAGCTATCACATTGGACTGCTAACTCTGCTTGGTTCTGGGTATTTCAATGTTCTACAAACTCCAAACATTTCAAAGAACTTTATTTGTAAATGTATATATTCTCCAGAATACTGGTTTTTGTTGCTGTCATTTTATTTTTGTGGACGGGACAGCAATTTGAGAAGATCACTGTGGAACAATCAGTATTTAGGGGCTTTATTTTATGAGCTGCACTTATATATATAATTTGATTTGAAAGGAAAAAATTCACTTCACATATCTTCCCTACCTAGAATATATCATCAGGTAATAGTTTGAGTAATGTCCATAAAGGATGCTAGAAGATCCTTAAAGAAAAGAGAGGAACAAATCTGATTATTGATGACATTTTAATGGTCTTGGAGTCATTTTCTCTAACTATGCAGGAAACTTGTTCATATAAGTACTGTGCATTAACCGATTGTGTCACTGGAGCTCCCAGTAAAATTGTTCAGAGTAAGCTTCTCTGAGTACTAGGGATTCTTTCATGTGAAGTAGTAATAAACCATGACATTCTGTCCTATTTGATTTCATATGCGGTAGAGAAAACTGAGGCCAAGAATGGGAAATTGGCTTAGACTAACTATTGTGAGTGGGAAGGTAATCTAGGATGATGTTCCTTTTCTGAATATTTTTATATGTGCGTATTTATTTTGAAGAATATAAATAATGTCTATAAATAATCTAGGCTAATTCTTAGAACATGTAGCTATCGATTTTCTACATAATGCAAGAACCATTATTTTTGCCTTGAATATATTTTACTTGTTTCAATACTCAACAGAGAAATCCAAAAAGGGATATTTTATTATTTATTCATTTTATCCTTGTCACTATTTGTAAGCCTATATATATTTGACTGTCTAACTTCTATCCATGTGAAGAAAATACAACGTCATTAATTGAGGAGCGGTAACACCTACATCTTTGTCTGGTTTTTAGGTCTGTAAACACAACAGCCTGCCATGTGTTCCACTGTGCTTTATTTTTCTCCCACCTGGCTCTTTTACTTTCTCTGCAAAACAGGGCTCCAATTAAATAAACTCTAAGAGTCCTGTGTGACTGAAACGTGTCGAAATATTTAAGATGTCATTACACAAACCACTGTTGTGTCGTCTATTCACAGACCTGTCACATTAACAAGGACCGGGTTTCATTTCTAGAGCCCTTTTCACAGCGTCTTTTACTTCTTTGTTCCTTAGGCTGTAAATCAGTGGATTTAACATAGGAATGACCAGGGTATAAAACACAGATACGACCTTTTCTTGCTCTAAGGAGTATTGGGAGCTTGGTTGAATGTAACTGAAGCTTATCGAGCCGTAAAATAAAGTCACCGTCATTAGATGCGAGGCACAGGTGGAGAAGGCTTTGCGTCTCCCAGCAGCCGAGCGGATCCTCAGGATCGCAGCGACGATGAAGATGTACGAGATCATCACGGTCAAGAAAGTGATCATGGCAATGATGCCAGAAAAAATTAAAAGCAACAGTTCATTCAGGGATGTATCAGAGCATGACAGTTTCAGCAGAGGGGGGAGGTCACAGAAGAAGTGACTGATGATATTTGGTCCACAGAAAGTCAGTTTCAACAAGCCAATTGTGTGTGTCAGTGAATTGATGAACCCTCCCACACAAGAGCCGAAAACCAGCAGGACACAGACTACCTTAGTCATGGCCACTGTATAAAGCAAGGGGTTTACGATGGCCATGTAACGGTCGTAAGCCATCGCTGCCAGCAAGAAGCCCTCGGTGGTAAGGAGTGACACAAATAAAAAATATTGCACAATGCACGCAGAGAAGGAGATAGTCTCCTGTTCCACAAAGAAGCTCAGCAGCATTTTGGGTGCGAAAACTGACGAATAGCTGGCATCCACAAATGACAGGCAGCTAAGAAAATGATACATGGGCGTGTGGAGTTTGGGAGTTATTTTGATTAGAAAGAGCATTCCCAGATTCCCCACCAAGGAAATGGTATAGATGAAAAGGAACAGCGCGAAGAGGACCACCTTCAGTTCAGCACGCTCTGTCAGTCCCAACAGGATAAACTCGGTAACCAACGTAAAATTAACATCAGCCATGGGTTTTTGTGTCTTGGAACCTGTTAATAATAAGGATATTTGAGTAAATTGAGTAAAAGTGCTACAACAGCAAGACTATTTGAAATCCTTAACTAGTGTGATTTGAGTTAGTGACTTCTCAGGTTATCTAGCCTTAAAATTAGAGAATTTTAACTAAAAAGTCTCTGTTCTCTTCCTATTCCATAAAATATTCTGTGAATAAAAATAGAAAATGTTAGGGTCTTAGCTTCAGGATGCATTTAAAATGCTGGTCTTAATGTGAACAAAAAACTAAAGTAAATTTCACTCTAAAGACATGTAAATGAAAGTCCAGTTTATAAAAACAAAACAGCCAAAGTTCTTTAATATGTGGCCCTGCCGTACACTTCTCAGTTTGAATTTGGTAGTAGTTAATGCCAAATATCTCAAGAGATAAGAATAAACTCTACTTGATATTTAAACCTGACATATTCCACTTCTGCCTTCATGTTTAGTTCCTGCACGGCTTTTATTTTTAAGATGTACATGACAGAAAGGCAAGGACCCAGCATCTAATCACTCTGGCATCATCCTTGAAAAATTAGCCAGAGGCACTGGCTTCTGAGAAGAGGGCAGACTGGGAAGTGGGAAGGAGGCAGTCAGAGCCGGGGTGTGAAACACGGAGAACAGCAACTTGTAATGAGCCCTTGACATCCAATAAAAATACCGTTCTGTGACTCAGGAAAAAGAAGTCTACACTATTTCTGAGAAAAAGCAATGCAAACTCGTAAAATACAGCAATTCCATAAATCACACAGATTCTTGTTTGCATCATATGCAGTCCCTGGCTCAGAAAGGAGGTAGGTTTTATAGGTTTATTCTTAAATTGATTTTGTATGTAATTGAAACAGGCACATTTGCCTTATAACCTCTAATAGTCCCCCTTCTTAAGTTCAAGTTATTCATCTGTTGGATGTTTGTAACTCAGGGACGGCCTTGTACTTCTTTTCCTTTCATACTGCAACATCATTTTTATTTTTATTTATTTATTTATTTATTGCAATTTTTTGCTGGGGCTGGGTTTGAACCTGACACCTCTGGTATATGAGGCTGGCGCCCTACTCCTTTGAGCCACAGGTGCTGCCCAGAAACATCATTTTTAGATTATACAATGTTTATTGCAAACCACTGAAGTATTATTTTACATTTTCTTGATAAATGTATTTTATTATATGAGAATAGAAATAACATGAAAATAAATTAGTAGTATCTTTTATTACTACATATTTTGCTTTCAGCAGGCTTTTTCCATATTCTTATGTACTCAGCCCTACTATGAAACCAATTTATAAACACCCACACTTCCATATGAAAGTTATAACCCAACTATAGCCCAAGATGAAGGGGAAATGGGGGAGGATGGGTGGATGGAGGGTAATTGGTGGGACCACACCTATGGTACATTTTACAAGGGTACATATTAAATCTACCAAGTGTAGAAGATAAATGTCTTAACACAATAACTAAGAAAATGCGGTGAAGGCTATGTTAACCAGTTTGATGATAGTATTTCAAGTTGTATATAAAACCAGCACATTGTACCCCATAACTGTATTAATGTACACAGCTATGATGTAATAAAAAAAAAACTCAAATGAGGAAGAAGCTCATTCTTAGTTAATTTGAACCACATTCCAAAGTATGACTAAACAGTATCCCACTAGATAAGTAGACAGTTATGACCTTCTCCCTTACGTGGTAATTAAATTGAACTATATTTTCTCTAATTCAGTTTGCACAATTTCAAAAAGGGCATTTTAATTTTTGGACCTGGTTTCTACTAACTCAGAACTTTGATTTGCATTTGTTTGTGTTGTCAAAAGAGAGGAACCCAAACTCTGTAAAATAATCTAAAGGGGTTTATTCCGAGCCGAGTATGCACCCAGCCATGGCTTAGAGCTATGTCCAAGAAACCTTGAGCAAGTGGTCTTGCTTTGGTGTGGTTACAGTTTGGTTTCATACATTTCAGGGAGGCGAGAATTACACATAAAGAAATAGAAATCAATATGTGGAAGGTGTGTACATCGGTTTGTCCTTAAAAGATGGGGCATCTCCAAATGAAGGGAATTACAGGTTATGAGTTTGTAATTTGTTACAGAAATAAAGCTTTCATAAAGGCTTAGAACAATTTGAGATATGGGCACCTGTTCATCAGAGACAAGCCGCCAGACTTATGCCCAGACTCAAGTGATCTATTAGGTAAATCAGTAGGCTTGTTAATGAGTTATAAATGATATCTTTAAGAAGGGATGGGGACATGGCAAGGCACGTCTGACTTCCCTTCTCATGGCCAGCAACTCAGCTGTAGGGTTATTTCTGGAGCCCTCTTGGCCATTCAGTCATTTAAGAGGCTTAAGGTTTTATTTTAGTTCACAGTGTGATCAAGCCAGGTTTATTGTAAAAGCATCAACAGGACAGCTTGGAAGGAGTGATGAACACAAGGCATCAGTCCCCTTGACAGGGCCAGATCCAGCACAGGGCATGTCTACATGTGTGACCAAGACCAACCTGGGAGCCTCCATCCTGAGCAGGGTTACGCTTCCATAAGGAAGGGCTGGAATAAATTGTCTTTGGGCCCACTCAGATCAGGTTAAAAAACAAGTGCATTCATTAAACAAATCAGGAGGCTCATAACGTTACCTCTACAGAGCAAAGAGTGACGTGCATGACAGTTTCATTGTCTTCATTTGGGAGACACTATTCTTGCAGAATAGGGAACTCAGGAAAAGAATACTGCAAGACTACTGAAATTAAAAAAAAAAAAAAAACAAGTAGAAAACAGAGAAATGTAGAGCAGTGGTTCTCAACCTTCCTAATGCCACAACCTTTTAATATAGTTCCTGTGGGTCATGACCCACATGTTGAGAACCACTGATAGAGTATCTACAGGATGCGTGAACAATCACATGTGTAGTTACGATTTAGATTGCAATTCATCTTTAAGAAAGAATATCCCATTGTATTAAAATGCTGATTTTTATTACTTCAGTAGAAGTTGCACAAAAAAAAGTAAATGTAGAAAAATAGTGAAGTGTTAGATAAGAAGTATGAATAAATGGTCATGTTATAAATTGCCCCTGCTCCTATAATTTGAAAAGTTTATCAGATTAAAATAAGAACATCTTTTCTTCTCCTTCTTCATGTTTTTAAATTTTAACTAATTTATAGAATGCATGTATGTAAAATATTTAAATGAATAAGTTTAACTTACCAAAAGAAGCAAAAATGTTCAACACCTTACCTCATTTAGGAATTTCATGGCCACCCTTCCCATGGTTTATTTTGCTAAAGTCTCAAAAAAAAAAAAAAAAACCCACAAAAAATTAATTAAATTTGTCTGACATTTACAGTGACACATAAATTAAGGAAATGACAGGACAATAGTTACAGGCAGCAAGATTAAATTCAAATTTGTACTTTAACATATGAGAATCAAAGTCATAGTCTCCTTTCTGTGAAAGTGAGAGCAAACAAAACATAATCATGTCAGAACTTAGGTTTAGATTAAAAGTTCAATTATGTATTTACCTTCCTTTTTATGGGAATAGAGTCCCTTGACTTAATGGTCTGGTTAAGAGGATTTCATACATATATGACTAAAAGTTCCTCCTTGTTTCTTGAGGGACTTAGGAAGCTCTCAAGAACTTAATGGTTCCCCTAAGGCATTTAATTTCTTCAATGTTAAAATGAATAGAAGTAAATATGGGCTCATGTGGGGGAAAAACAAGAATATGTAATCTCTGAAGAAAATATAGTGGAATTAATTGATAGTGATGTCTGTGAAAGAAATTTCAAAAATTATTCCCAAACATATATATTTTTGGACATATTTTGTAATGGATGTTATGAATCTCACAGATAGAAGTAATATTGTAAAGCAGTCTTTAGTGGAGGGGAAATTTTCATCTATAAACAATCTGCAGATACATCTCTTAATACAGATAGATCTTTGTTTTCCTGATCTAGAAAAGATTAAGGAAAAGTCTTACACAATTAAAGATCTGAAAAGAAGCACTCACTATCTATATCTGTATTCCATGAGAGCTGCTACCTGTAAGGTTTCATTTACATAACACCACCTTTACTATAGAGCCAAACCTCTTTTTCTCACCTTCCCCAAACCTGTTTTTCTGCTTTCAAGGCCCTACTCTACAAATGTCTCTTTAACTTACTGAGGAGTTGAATCTTCATCCTGAGGGTTCCTACATACATATGTTAAATAAAATAAATTAGCATCTTTTTCTTCCTAGTAACCAATCTGCATCATGTCAGTGATTTTTCAGCAAACTTTATTGAGACAAGAACCTTTGCTCCCTACGCCTGCTGGTGAAAGGATGGCACTGCTAGTAAATCACTGCACACAAAAACATCCCTGTACACAAAAATGTGCTAGCCCCAGTGTTTGCTTCTTTCTTTAACAAACAGGGTGGGGCAGGGGAGTAACTTAGTTTTGGTGGGCTTGTTTTGAAGAACCTTAAAAGTACTGAATGAACAAAAAGGGGCATGTAACCTCTACCCCTTTCAACATCTGCCAGCTTGCATTCAAAGAAGTCAGATAAGACCAGCAAAATGGAAAAAAACTGCATTCCATTTCATTTCACAATAGCAACTTTTCTTCTCTTTAAAATTCCAGTAAAAACACAAGATACTCATCCTTAGGCTGGCACTTCTTTTTCCATTCTTGTCATGTCCTTTTCTCTCTTGGAAATTACAATAAAATTCTTCTTTTAAAACCTGCCTTAATATCTGAGTTGAGAATTCTTTCTCAGCCTGCAGCATAAGTACCCCTAACACTTGGTACTTTAGCAAACTTACTTTAGCATGCTCTCCAGAAGAACACCTTACTTTGGCATAAGTGTAACAGGAAGAAAGGTAGGGATATAGAAGATAAAGAAAGGAAGGAAGAAAAAGAAAGAAAAAAAAGGAGGAAGAGGAAAATAGAAAAAGGAAGGCAGGGACAGCCTGTGTATGGCTATAAAACAAAGTATAAAAAATAGATAGACTAAGAAAGACAT